GGAAGAGCGACTCCATTTAAAAAAAAGCCACTTCAAACCCTGCGTGTATTAACTATCCGCTCCTCCTTCTTTCTGCCTGGAGTGGCCATGTCTGTCCCCGGGGAATTGTTTGCAAGAGCCCAACGAGGCTGCCCGCTTCTCCCGTCTCCGCGTCAAACGGGGCACCAGTGCCCTGGCCTTTTACACTGCCAAGACCCCGCCCCTCTCCCGGTCCGAGACTGGCGCTGACGCGCGCTGCCCTGCGTGTATTAACTATCCGCTCCTCCTTCTTTCTGCCTGGAGTGGCCATGTCTGTCCCCGGGGAATTGTTTGCAAGAGCCCAACGAGGCTGCCCGCTTCTCCCGTCTCCGCGTCAAACGGGGCACCAGTGCCCTGGCCTTTTACACTGCCAAGACCCCGCCCCTCTCCCGGTCCGAGACTGGCGCTGACGCGCGCTGCACCTGTGTGCAGCCCGGCCCGCCGATGGGCTACGTGTGCGTATGGACATGTCCATTGTGCTCAGACTCGGTCCTGCGGGGTCAGCCTTAAAGGAAGCATCTGTTTCCAATTAGTCTTCGAGCTCCTGCTTGAGACGCTACACTGTTCCCGAGGAGGTGCCCTTTGAGCGCCCGCTCGGCTCAGAACAGCCCGGCCCCAAGCACACTGAAACCACCTCCTCCTGCAGCACACACTTTTTCCATTGCACCTCTGGCAACTGCCTGCCTTTCACACAGGCACACAAAGAGCCTTCTCTCTCCCGCAGCCTGGTTACTCACCCACTGTGAAAAGCTCGAGCAAGTCTCCATAGGCGCCTATACAGTCCCCATAAAATGGCTCTTGCATGCAACCAGGGACGCTTATTCTGGGGCTAACACTCACATTGGTACTGAACTCTTCCCAAATTTCAGTGGGCTCCCACCCTTCCTTTTATTATAAGTTTACGCCCCCTCTTTGTCTAATCCTTATAGGACATTATTCACTTCAATCAGATTAAAAATACACACAGGAGCGAGAGAGGTAACATCACAGTTAAATACTATTTTGCCCATGTTCTGTCTTTGCCTGAAGGATCTCATTTTTTTGTTTCTCACCCTAAGCCTGGCTCATTTTCGAGGCATAAAGCTCAGAAGAGAAGAGTAATTGCTGAAGATCCTAAACCAAAGGGAAATGTATGGGCTCCTCGACCTCTGGATAACCTGGGCACCTTGGCACCAAATCTTGCAACAATATTTACTTACCTTGAATTTGCTGTTTTTTATTTATTTACTCAGTTTTTTATTTCTTAAGGCATCATTCGAGATGGTTGGAGCTCCTGGGTGAGCGCTAATGACAGTCAGCAGAAACAGGATGGAATGTGAATGGCTCCGTTCTGCAGGAATTGCATCTTCAAGGTGCTGGACAGAGTAGCTTACTGTGTTTTTACTCTCACATACTGGAGTCTTTTTTTTTTTCTTTTTAAAGCCTTACAATCTCCTATGACTGGTTTGAAAGATATTTGAGCAATTAGGAATTAATTTGTCATAGACCAAAGACAATTTCACTGTAACTTACAGCACTTATACCAACTTTAGAGTTTAAGCGGTGGAAGTGGTACATTGGGGTGGAGGTAAGCAGCAGGAAATGAAAAAAAGGAGTGCACAGAAAGGAAGACAAGGGGGAAAAGAGGGCATAAGGGTCTGAGGAATGAGCTGTAAATGTTACTGGCAACGAATTTTATTATTTTCTTTCATGTTTTCTCTGACTAGAAATCAAAATTCACGTCAGGTCCTTTGTAGAAAGATGATTTTTAATATCAAAAGACAATTAATTGGAAAGCCCAACGGTCAGATCCCAGACATATTTCAGGTACATGATGAGGGGAGACAACCCTGGAGTTAAATCTTATATTTAAGAAACCTTAAACAGGAGCAGCAGCAGCACTGATGTATGAGATCTTCTCTTATTTGCAAAGGTCTAGAAACTAAATGAATCTTTCACACAAATACTTAAAATAAAAAAGCCCCCGGCTCCCAAGCATTGTACACCGATCATGCTTCTTTTCCATTCGAGTATGTCCAACTATGCAGACAGCAGCCTCAACCATCAACGGGAGTGATTTCTCCAGAGGAGATGAAAAGACCATTTGGAGGCAGAGAGCAGGCTTAGGCATTGGGGTTATTTTTCATGAGTTTCACATCAGCTTCCACCATCTCTTTCACCAAGTCCTGCAAGAAGGAACAGCATGTGCTAGCTATTCTCATCTTTTGAAAGACTCAAAAGCTTTGGTTTTTAACTTTATTGCCCACCCATTTTAAGATACTCAATGCACCAACCCCTTCCCCCCACCCCCTTCTGGCTCCCTTTTCTGGTATCATTTCAATTATTATTTTACTGGGAGGGAAAAGTTTACTTTGATGTTAACTGCAGCAAACAGAAGTCCAGGAAAGCAAACTCCAGGGGGCTGTCAAATCTGGAGACAACTGATCAGTAATTTTAAAAATACCACAATTTATGAGAAAAAATACCCTCCTTAAGGATCCAATATTAAAATAGCAGGGACTTAAAATTTACATTGACATGAATAGAAATCTTGGTTTGTTTTCTTTGTGTATTCCCATGCTTTGTTATGTGAGTTCTGTGATTTTTACAGATTTATTCTGCAGTGGCTTGGCTTTTAAGGTTGGGCCCCGAATCAAAGCTATTTTCCAAAATGTTCAGTACCATAATATTTAGAATGAATTTTGCAGCATTTAATCTTCCAGTAGGAGAAGCTGTGTTCTTAAATAGCTGTACTATCACTATGGAAACTGCAATTTATCTTTTTATTCACCAGTTAAAAAACGCTGCTCCCCTTCACCCTGTTTATTCCCCCTTTTCATAACTACACAAACATGGCAGGAATAAAAAAAAATACCCCAGTAACTTACATCAAAAGTGACTTTGGGTTTCCAGTTCAGTTTCTGTTTTGCTTTAGTGCAATCTCCTTGAAGAAAATCCTGGGAAAAGGAAAAGAAAAGAAAAATTGCAGGACCTCTGTGTTCCATGTTGCAGAGTGTAAGGTTTGCCACAGCACAGTTTGCTCCTTATCTAATGCACCTTAAGGCACCCAGCAGGTATAATTTGTCTTTAAAAGAATGAAGCTAGACCAAAGACCTTCAGGCTACAGAAATCACGGGCCTGATTCCCTTAACAGGTTGTAGCTTAGGTGGAAAGACAAGGCAATGGCCTCTCAAATTACTGACAGGTATTGTCTAGCATTGCTTATAGACTCCTCCTCTGTCCACGCTTATTTCCATGAAAGTCCTGGGCTAGATTTCAGTCATTACAGGCCACACTTAGAAACTCTGACAAATCATTTATTTTCGATTATGCAATTTCAGTTGAAGCTCAGATGCCTATAAATCACCCATAGGCACATTTAAGAAACTTTGCACAGGCCATTTAAAACATAAGAATAATTCTTCTTTACATCAAACCTTATTGACTCTTTAATGGTGAACCCTTTACATTAAGTTGTCATATGTCCTGCTCATGCTACTAAGAGAGCTGTTTCGAATTATTGCATTTTTTCCCTTTTGGTTAAACAGAAGTAAATCACAAAGCAAACATGACAACTGAAATGTTCTTTCAAATAAAAACCATGTGATCATGGAAAGACCATGTTGAATAATGGTAGAACCCTGGTTACTTCAGTGTTATAAAGCATGTCCAATAGACACACAAAGTAAAAACTTTTCTCACACTAGTTTTTACAAGAGGTAACCTGAACATCCAACCTGGAAAGAAAAGTAACTGGATATATAACTGGATGCATATAAACTACCCTGAAATAGTACTACAGGAACTCGGACACTGTTAGTCAACCATATTTTTATGTTCCTAGCCTATTTAAAGCGCCACAACACATACATACTGCATCTCTAATGTAATTGAAAGATCTATTGTATTATTGCTTCTAGATTAAATGTAAATTATACAAATCTCCCATTGCTTGAATTTATGTACAGAGCTCCCCTAAAACACAATTAAAATGTATGTGAAGGTAAAGGATAGCTGTATAGTACTAGAGCAATATGTCTTCTCTATCCTTGCTGGGGATGTAAAAGTAGGATTTGCTGTCTTTAAAATAAGAACAATCTGTGTTCCCTCATCCTTTCTGAGCTAATAAGTATTTTGTGGCATTCTCTAAAAGCACTGCCACACAGTGTTCCAGATACCATCTTTTTGTATGCCTGTGATCACGTTAACTTCCAAAAATTGCCTTGCCCTGTGCCATATGTAGAGCATTCTTCGCAACTGAAGAATACATAAGCTACATAAAAGTAGAGTTCCCTTGCAGGAGCAGAGGAAAATCACCTCAGGTACTGTTCTGCAGATGGGGATGTGGAACAAACAGGTCTGCTGAGAAGGTTCCAGGCAGCATTTTTAATAATTCAGTCTGTATGCTAAAAATAAAATGAGCTTCCTCAAATAAAGACTATTCAGCCAGATCAAAACAAAATGATGACAAGCAAAATGTCATTTTCCTAAATTATTCTAAACCTTTCCTATTGCAAGTCTATCATGGTGTTTGGAAATTATGGTAGACTTTGGGACTGAGTTCCATAAAACCCTTACTAATTATAGGAAAGATTTCCACTGACTTTTGGTTCTAAATCCAAATGAAAGTATTAAAATATATGTTCTCTCATTTTAGTTTAGCATGCATTATATATGTATGCAATTAAGAAAAACCTTAAAATACAAATTTAATATAAAACCAGTTTTCCCTTTAATCCATACTAATGTAAGTTGCTTTAAACATTTAAGCCAAGTTAACTAGTAGCTTACAGTAATATTTTTAATATAATCTAACTTTAAAAGCCTTAAACAAGTATATCATAAAATCAGTTTTATTTTTATAAACATTGTATAAAGTAATACATTTACATCCACAATATTTTAAAAAGAGATTATTTCAAAACTCTGCCCAATGTAGGGTTATTTATGTTTTACCCATTGTGGAAAAAGGTCAAGAGACAAGGGTTGTCATTGTCTCATTGTACAGCAAATAAGTTTACAAGAAACCTATCTACAAGCTGCTTTTTAAAAGGTTAGGGGGTAGTCTTTAAACTTTCTAGCAAATATTCTAATTTAAAATAATTAATTCATTTCCAAAACTGTTATTTTTCAATCGAAATCCTCATTCAAAAATGTAAGTGCTCAACTGTTAAGCGCAAAAAAAAAAAAAAAAAATCAATATAAGCTCTAAAGTTACAGTAAGTAACTGGATGGTAAGCTGGATGGTATATATGAGATATCTAATTAAAGAATGTAAGTTAAAAACAGAAGAGAAACCTTAGAGAAGTCCACATACTTTAACAAAGAATTAAAAGTAGTGTGGTGCTTTGTTTGTAAATTTGACTCCGGTTAAAACAGTTTAAATGACTTTTCTAAATAAGTTTATATTTTATTAAAATCCTATTATACAATAGGACTTGATTACAAATAGCATTATATAAACATAATTTCTGCCTATGGATTTTTTTTAAGCTGCTCAGATATAAAAGTTAGTAGATAGACCAAAATAACATGGATGTGAAAAACAAATTACAGTTTAAATCAATCAACATTACACCTAAATTCGAGGATTCCATGTTTTTCTAGTGAAAGCTTGAAACACAGAATGGAAATGTTAATGATGACTAGAAAAAGCAATTACCGATTAAAGAATTGTATTGTAGTCATATTTCCTGTATTTTTCTAGAAGTAGCTCATAATATGTTAAAATAAAGTAACTACAATTAAATAAGAATATTTGAAAACTCTTGAAACTGAATCACTGCTTGTTTATTGAAATATTTCACTGAAACTAGAGTTGCACCTATGTAACTTTCAAATTTAGTCTGGTAAGCCCTACTTTACCAGTCCAGGGGATTTACAGCTTTTCAGTCCTAGGGCTTTACTTTCTGGAAGCACAACCAGACCAAAAGAGCTCATGAAAGAAGAGGATGAAATCCCATGAAGAAAATGGATCTTTGTGATTCTTGAAAGACAGCTGCTGCTGAATATTGACCTGCTAATATTCCTGTTTCCAATAGCATAGTAGGTAAAGATTAATTTTTTAAAACACACACAGTCTACTTCACAAAGTAGTATTTCTGCAGAATTTGTTTTATCAGGGTGCTTTATGCATACAATATATAAAAAGTTCTTTGACTTCATGTAGAATTCAAAGGAACAGATAGGGATTTTTTTTGTTTTTTTAAGGAAAGATGAAAATGTTCATTGTCTTGCGTAACTTTTAGAGTACTTGAACTTTTCAAATAAAATAGTTAAGTGTTTAAATATCCATGTTAGGCGGAAGTGCCACCAGACTCTTATTTTCCATGAAAAAGAAAACAAAGCATATAAATGGCAAGTTTTACATGTGAGTTACAACTTGTTCTTGAATATGGTAAGCTGAGCATTCAGTGAAGTAGCTAAAGGGGTAAAAGGCAACAGACAATTTGGCTGTTGCCATTTAACACTATTGTAAAAATCTCTGACAGATTTAACTTCACTTAGCTGTGATATGATCTTCTCTTTAGGCCATGGAAAATAATGAATCTGATACAATCTTTTCTGTTTGACTACTCCTCTCCTCTTCTGTTTACAATTATAGCTTAAAGCTTAAATGTGCAAAAAAAAAGCCCCCCCCACCTCTAAATTGTATTAAACCTGATTTTATGGAGATTTGGTTTTATAGTCCAAACCAAGCTAAACAAACAAAAAGGTGCACACACGAATACAGAGAAACTTGTGTAGTGTGGCCTGGCATTTTAAAAGAGAGTTATAAAAACTAGAGAGAAAAACGTAAAATATTTCTGTGTAAATATATTTCCTGAGCTCTGGCTCTGTGTGTCATCACTATTTTATTTTAACTCATTAGGTGAATGATCTGATTTCACTGTGCAATTTATTGTCGTTTAATGAAATTAAACTGAAAATGGAAAACACCTCAATACAACATGAGTAAAAAAGGGTGTTCCCATTGCTCAAGTCTTCTCCTAATACCACAATCCGTCTGATTACTGATTGATCATTTGTTCATTTAACTTAGCAGTTAGGAAACAATTCTGGCCCCAGTTACACCAATATAATTCCAGAGCAAGTTTTATAAGGTTATGGGTGCTATCACACCTATAGGGTGAGCTCCTGACCCAGGGCTGGCCTTACCATGAGGCGAACTGAGGCAGCCACCTCAGGTGCCAGACTGTGGGGGTGAACCAGTAGGACCCAGAGTGTATAAAATTGTGTCTGCTGCTGGTGCATATGTATTCTCTCTGCAGTACCATGAGAGGAGCAGAACAGGAAGAAGGCAGAATTGACACCTTTCAAAGTTTTGGCCCAAGCGAGGGTGCATGGGGGCATCATTTGAGCTCCTCGCCTCAGGTGCCAAAATGTTGTGGGCTGGCCCTGTCCTGACCCCATGGAACTCAATAGCAAAACTCCCATTGACTTCAATGAAGAAAGGATTTCACCCCTAAATGGACAGTAAAACTATTACAATCCAGACTAAGATTTTTCTGGAAGGTGACTTTTTATGTCACAGCTCTTATGAACTGATTAAAAGATTTACTTGGCATTGCTCGAGTCCTTAATTCAATTTTTATGTTTGAAAAATAAAATGAAAATGTACACTCCTCATTTAAATCAGTGCTCTGGGGATGAGAGGTTCGGTATACTGGCTGACCTGGGGAGAGAGGACTTCTTCAGGCCTCTCAATGCAGCAGGTTGGGGCCTGCTGAGAAGCACCTTTTCATGGCCATTGCAACTCTGCTGGCCACAGCCAGGGGAGGGTTGCATGGTGCCTGACTGGGGCAGGTCCAGGTTAGTCTGCCCTTTGCATCCCCCACCCTCCTGCCAGAATGAGTAATGCTGCAAACTGCATTTTCCCCCTGTTACTTGACGAAGGGGAACAACCATAGAAATTGGGAAGAGGAAGGGATCTTCATCCCCCCGTCCTCCCTAAAGG